TCGACACCGATGGTATGTGGGCAGTCGGCCATGACTATACATGCAACAATTTCCGATAATCAAAAGTCAAATTACTGAGCTGCAACTCTTCAGAAGAAAAAGAATAAAAAATCTAAGTCACAGCAGTCAAGAAACCATTTTGAAAAAACACGAAGCATGTAAGGAGAATCAAACTCACATTTCTTTTCCGTGAACTGATGTAGCAAGCACGACTTCCCAACACCCATATCACCAATGATGATGTACTTGAAGATGTAGGAGTAGTTGTATGGAGCTCCCGACATCTTTCAATACTTTGCTATTCAGTCCTTCGAGGGAAACTATGTAGGGATAGAAGAACGTTTGAAGAAGTAAAGCGCGAATCTTGCGAAGATAAACATCGAATGCTAACGATTAAATTAGACAAGACCCTAACAAGTCAAACAATAATTTACCTGCCTTGAACCAATAATATTTCAATGAAGAAAAGTTGGATTTTTATACACAACGCTTAACCACTATCAAGAACGATGTGTAATCAAATTACAGAAGAGCTATTTGCACGAGTAGAGGTACAGACGCCTCAAGAGTTCAGCTTCGAAACCGCAAAAGCGGGTTGAAAGTGATTCAACCAGGCTATGCTGTACAAGGTTCGCTACATGACATAACATCGATAGAAGTTGATATGCGAGTTTTCTAAGCACGGAAAATCGCTGTAACTGTTTCTTGAAAGCTACAGGAAGAACATACACGAATGCTGTGACTAACAAGGGCGCGGGTTTTTTCCTGCGTAAGTGCTAAAACGCATATCTTCATAAAATAACGTTAAAAGTAAGGCAATGAAGATTCAGATATGATGCTTCGCACATAATTCCATAACGACGAGAAAGGAATGTACCGCTGTGTTTCGCAACCCGTCTGTGACAGTCGATAAACCTCTCTAGCGATCAATAACATGACTAATTGACCGCTTACACAATAACAAACCCTGCGAATATCCAGATGATTTATGGTCATATGCAATCAAAAAAGCCTTTTGACGAATAATATAAAGAAAAGCAAAATAATCAGAAAGTATTCCATGAAAGGAGTGCGATAAACTTTATAAGTGCAAGTTCTCGAAAGACTGAGGCATGAGGGAAATACGGATTGACGAGGCAAATTTTCATAAAAGAAAACCTAACTCTTAGTGAAGACAACGGCTAGAGCATGTGATCGATGATTCGCTGAGGTGCGGTATTGATTGGCACTAGAAAGATGTTAATAATGTGCGCCAGCAATGTGGACTGACGCGATATTTGCGATTCAGATTCAGCTTTCAGACTCACGAAAAATTCAATCATCACATTTTCCATGAAAGAAGCCGGCTATCTTCGTAATTGTACGACAGCTTTATTTTGATATGGTAGTAGTTTGGAAATGTATTGTTTTGTGTGGAGGTACTGGGTTGATTTGCTAATTCTGCATCATAATTTATATGAGAGATGCCTTAGTCTCTATTCTTTCCGTGCACTACTTCATCCCGCATTCATTTTTACACATGTCGCAATATCTGGAATTTCCACGCCTTCGCTATCAGTTTTGCAGAGTAGTGGAT